CATGAAACATCTGCAAGAAAACCACCCAGCTCAGAGAGCACCAAGGACCCCACAGTCCTCCTCCTCCTCCTCCTCCTCCTCCTCCTCCTCTTCTTCCTCCCCCTCTTCCTCCTCCTCCTCTCCACAATCCCCACTCCCTTCTAGCCCTGATGATGTTACCTAGCTGGGTCATGAACCGCCTGCAAGAAAGCAACCCAGCGCATAGGGCGGCAGGCACACAGCCGTTCTCCCCCTCCCCCTCCTAGCACTGATGATGTTCCCTCATTGGGTCAAGGAAGGCCAACCCTTTCATCGGTCATTCCGACTCTTCCACCCAAGGAAATGACCGTCCCAGGGAGCCCCCCCCTTGCTCCCCCCCGCAGCTTCCCACCTGGTCGTGCGAGTAGGGCACCCCCAGGAAGTGGTCAAAGCCTTGGTTGGTGGGCAGGAACGTGCCGTTGGGGCCCAGGCCCAGGTGCCACTTGCCGACCATGGCGGTGGCATAGCCACGCTCCTTCAGCAATTCGGCCACTGTCACCTCGGCCAGCGGGAGGCCCCCCTGCGAGCCGGGATAAAAGACGCCAGGATAGATGCCGGAACGGGTCTGGTAGCGCCCCGTCAGGAGGGCTGCCCTGCACAGAGAGAGAGAGAGGGGGGGTCCGTGTCATGGCCTTGTCTGACTCTGAGGGGGAGGCTGAGCAGCTGACAGGGGGTGGGAGTGTGGGCTCCAGTGGCTGTGGAGGAAACGGGGGAAGGGCACAGTCCGGCTGAGCATTCGGAGGAAGACCCAGGGCCACCCCCTCTTCATCCTAGGGCACGCAGGGAAGAACGGTGAAGGAGCAACGTGGGTTATGGGGGAGAAAAGGGCCCTGATTCCCTCCATTAGCTGCAGCTGGGAGAACAGGATATAAGAAGGGCATTTGCACACGGCTCCTTGCCGGAAGCAAAGCGTGCATTATCTTGGTCAAGCCTTATCTGGGTTTGTGTTATCTTTTGGAAGTCTGCAATTTATTATCCTGGCCTGTCGCGTTAATTACTTCAGTGTGGTTTGTGTTGGCTTTTTTATTTCTAATTTATCTGAACTTTGGGTTTGGACTGCATTTCTCCCCTTCGTAGGCTGTTTTCGGAAGAGTTTAATATCCAGATGAGGATAACTGGACATCGGGGGCCAAGTTGGAGGCATTAAAGGGAATTTATCGATTTTGTGACGTTGTTATTTTTGTGCCACGCCCCTTTGGGTCATCCCAGTCCTTGACTTACCGCCATTCATTTAGTGGCCATTCAAAGTTACAACAGCACTGAAAAAAGTGATGTCACCATTCCAACTAACCAACTCCAAACCAGTAAACTCCGAGACAAGTTTCAATTTATTAGAGTTGCCCTATTAGCACACCTGGGAATACCCAAATCTGAGAGTATCCGGGTTTTCCCTTCCCCAAAAATAACTCAAGGATCCCTCCCCTGCACCCATCAGTCCATCTCATGGCCCAATCAAATCTTCTTCCCAACTGGAGACATTCCCCCAGTCACTCCCCTCCAGGTGCAGGGCAACACGTCCTTGACTCTCTGAGAAAGAATGTTGTTGAGTCTAAAGTTCTACCCCGCTATGAAATTCCCCCACCCAAATTCCCAGGCACTGAATGTGGCAGCCTGGAAGCTTCCAAGGCTGACAGATGTATGACCATTGTTCACATTTAATGACCACAAGGTCACATGATCAAAATTCCGATGCTTGGCAACCGACTCATGTTTATGACGGTTGCCATGTCTCGGGGTCACATGATCCCCTTTTGACTAACTTAGCCACTTAAAAGCCACCTGTGGCACAATCCACTTGCCCACTGTCTCGCTTAGCAGCAGAAATTTTGGACTCAATTGTGGCTGCAAATCAAAGTCTGTTTGTAGATGGTTAGGTCTGATCATCCTCAGAGCCGGAGCTGGAGATCATAATTCCTCCCCAAGGAAGCCAAGAGCTGGAAGGTCTCCACCTTGGACAGAGAGGACATCTCAAGAGGTCCACCTTGGACACAGAGGACATCTCAAG